CTTCTGCAGGAGCTGCGTCTTGCGGTTGCTGTTCTGACTGCGCTGCTTCATCTAAGTGCTGTGGAAGCTCTGCCGTTTCTGCTGTGCCAGCTGCTGTGTAATGCTCATGCGTTGTTTCCTCTGCCGGAGCCGCGACTTGCGGTTGCTGTTCTGGGTGTGCTGCTGCTGCTTTCAAGTGCTTTGCATCTGAGTCTTCTTGGACAGGGTCACTTGCGGCAAACAGGTTGCCCCAGAATTCTTCTTCTTCCTTGTCCATGTCTTCATTTTCCTTGGGTTGATGACATGCCAATTTCGCTGGAGGGAAATCCAGAGATGACTGCACAGATCGCTTTTTTCCAGATGCACTCTTTGCTGAAGCTTTTGGTTTTGCTGCTGCCGAAGATTTTGCCGCAGTTCTGACTCTAGTCCTAGTTGTAGCCTCTTTGGCCTTAGCCTGTGCCTTTGCAGCAACCTTCTTAGGTGCTGGCGGCGCTGCGTCAACCTCGCTCTTTCGCTTTCTGGGCGGCATTGCAAATTCGGTGACACTGAAACTAACTTGGACAAATGCTGAAACGCCCTGAAGGCATGCATGCTCTATCATGCTCTGTTGGTGACGCTGACTCCTCCGTTTCACTCCGTGTCGTTCCCCGGTTTCTACTTACTTATTTTTAAATCTTGTTCTGTTATAATTATAGTCGTCATAGCCATAGTCATAGTTATAAGTTCTTGAGTGGAACAGGTAGATCGCCTCTTCTGCAAAAGGCCCCAGAAATCTGCCATTGTGCAATTGTCCTTTTCACTTGTCTCTGGTCACATGTTTTGGTCTATTTTCAGAAAAGTATAGGTGGGTGGTTTGGCAATCTTGCACTGCCTCAACCTCTGTGCACCACCTCGAAGATCGTTTATTCATGCAGTTGGAGATTGGGCATGTATCACAGAATCGGAGCACAAAGCACACAGGTATTTGATATGACATATGATAGACTGATAGACGATAGATGATTGCCAACTGATATTAAACAAACAGATCATTGATTGATGGTGCATACATGTGCATACATAGCGGATCATGGGAGATTCTTCACAAACACCAGCAAGTTTCCGCTCCCAAACCAAATCTTTAGGCCCCCGTTCTGTTGATACAAATCAAAGTGAACTTGAAACACGACAATGCACTGCCGCTTGGCATTGCCCTAGGAGATTAAGCAGTCAGGAGCTGCCGATTCAAGCCCGAAA